AATCGTTGAGCATGTCACCATTACCATGCAGTTCACAGGCTGCCTTCTGAGACAAAGGACTTGACTTGTAGCATGTTGATTTGTTAGCCAGGATGCGAGCCAAGGAGGAAGGAAATATCACCCTCAAGCTTAAAAATACTTAGCTTTCAACCCATAGAAAATTACTAAGGACGGATACTTTGCACTCATCTGAATAATAATCAAAATTCGCGTCTGTTTCCGGTGCCCAACAAGACATCGGTATGATCAGCTTTTGGTGAAAGAAGGAAAAGTCTATGAGGAAGTAATGTCCTCTCGTTCATTGTAAGTCATGGCTTGGGCTCAGTTGGATGCTAGTCCTGATAAAACAAGATGCTATAAGTCACCATGGCTTCCACCGTCTACTTCACTCTGCCAATCGGAGGAACTTCAGTTCTGACGCCTGCCGCGTGGTCTAAACATCTCGTGGTTGCAGCTGTCATTTCTCCTGCTCTCTATATGCCTCCTTTGTAGCATCAGCTTCACCCTGCACTGAGCATTACGTGCTTTTGCAAAAAATGGAACGTGAGATGAAATGTTTCAACACTGTCATGTCTGTCTGTAGTTGATAACCTGTAGCTCGTAAGGCTGAGAGCATTTTGAACAGTAATGTGAGGTAGGTATCAATGCTTCCTTTCTATAGGAGCTCCGAGTAAAGCCAATTCTAGGAATCTAAAACTCACAGTACTGGAAAATCCCCCCAGCAGACGTCCTGTGGGAGGGGGCTCACCAGAGTGTCCTGAGAAAGGGGCGCTGGCAAGGCCTTTTGTACCTAACAGTGTGCATCATGCTGGGCAGGGCGGATTGTTGGCAACCATGCTAGATGCATCCATTCCGGCCACTTTTAATATGAGTTGGATTTGATGCCCCACTGTTGCCCACAGAGGACACTAACCTCTCTAAATATTGACATTTCAAAAATGCTGGCTATATTCTGGAGCAGACCTATCCTATGAAAATTATGTAGCTCTAGCTTTCTAAAATTTGTTCTTGTTTTTTTAAATTAGAATAGGGATATATGGCAGGCTGTCTACAAGCAACTGATGGGACCTAGAAAGTTACATGTCCATCAACTAGAGTGAAAACATGAAGGAAGACACATTTTATATTCCCTCTCACTCTGACTTTCCCTTTCTAGCTCCCTCCCTCCATTCACACACATCCAACCCCAACACACCTACAACTCCTCTCGTAAGCCAAAAGAATCCCAAGGTTGACTTAATCAGTAGCTACCTCATGGCAATCTGTTTATAAATCTAAGGTTTCTGTGGCCACTTGAGTGATTTAGAAATTCTGTGATTTTTATTTATTTATTTTTAAATATATTTTTATTGATTTTTTACAGAGAGGAAGGGAGAGGGATAGAGAGTTAGAAACATCGATGAGAGAGAAACATCAATCAGCTGCCTCCTGCACACCCCCTACTGGGGATGTGCCCGCAACCAAGGTACATGCCCTTGACCAGAATCGAACCTGGGACCCTTCAGTCCGCAGGCTGACACTATCCACTGAGCCAAACCAGTTAGGGCGAAATTCTGTGATTTTAGATCACATCTGTGAAGGCACTCAGCCCATTGGAGACATTTGATAAACTATTACCAAAAATGTCAATGAGGAGGGGGACTGCGGGACTTCTGCAGCCCCTCCCCTGTGTGAAACCCAACGACTGGGGTTCCTTTTGTGAAGACGTGTTGATGCTAGACTGCAGTGGCATCACTGTCCTTACACTTTTTCGTGTCTGGTTTCTGACGTGCCGTGATTCATGGCCACCTGTGTGTGCTCTAGAAGGTTGATGCCCTGAGCTCTTTAACTAAAATCCTCCAAGCTCAAACCGCAGCTTGTTTGGTTGCTTCGGTGCCGTCAGGGTGGGGGCTTGGACATGACACTGTCATGAATCAACATGTTACAGATACGCCCCGTGACGGCTCTTCTGAGCGTTCACCGGCCTTGCTCCCTTTATGTGTTCCCTCCAAACTGACAGGAATTGCAATTTTCCCTAAAGGCGGCCAAGTAGCAAAAAACTTGGTAGGTTTCGGGATATATAGTGATCGGACTTTTTTAAACATCAACTTTGGATATGTGTTCCTCGTCAGCTCCCCGGAGTTCATTTTCTATAAGCGTCGTTCATAGTTAATCCAGCCTGATTTCCATCTGTCCAGGTACACCCCCACCTCCCAGCTCCGCACACAAGAAGACGCAAAAGAATGGTTACGGTCCCACTCTGCAGGAGGCCTGCAGGACACAGCTGCCAATTCCCCTTTCTCCTCTGGCTCCAGCGTCACTTCTCCCTCCGGAACGAGGTTCAACTTCTCTCAGCTTGGTGAGTAGCTGCTTGTCATTAGCTGTGTTGATCGGCTCCCTGGGGCAGAGGTCAGCTTGTGCTTGGAAGAGAGCTGTTGGTCATAGACGTGTGGTCTCCTCCCGCTCCGGATCTGCCCAGCCCTCCACAATGCAGTTTGATTACAGGAGATTGGCAGCAAAGGAACTAGAGGAAATGGAAAAGTTTCTGATACTCTAATCAGTAATCATCTTTCTGTGGTTGATAGAGTTGGAGCTAACCATCCCATTTTTGAGAAAAATGTACCCTATTTCTAAGACCTAAAGAAGTAGGTTGTAGCCCTAGCCAGTTTGGCTCGGTGGATAGAGCATCGGCCTGTGGACTGACGGGTCCCATGTTCGATTCTGGTCAAGGGCACATGCCCGGGTTGTGGGTTCGATCCCCAGTGTGGCGCGTGCAGGAGGTAGCCGATCAATGATTCTCTCTCATCATTGATGTTTCTATTTCCCTCCCTTCCTCTCTGAAATCAATAAAAATATATATTTTAAAAAAACAAAAGAACATGTCCCATGTTTGGTCATCCTCATGCTTTCTTCAGCTAGAGATAAAAACCATGTTTTGATTGAACAAGTATTCTTGGAAGTGCCCACTCCTGACATGATGCTTTGACAGGCACAGTGGGGAAGGGAAAAGAATGTGTGACACGGTCCCTGCTGACAAGTCAGGGGATTCTGTTTATAGGAAACCATGTAGAAACGGAATATGATCAGGTAGCAAGTACCACTTACAGTTAGGAAAAGGAAAGCCAGTCCTGGCAGGAATTATAGGGAAGGTCGCATGAAGGTGGCAGGATGGGAGCTAAGCCTTGGAAGGCTGATGGGAGGGAGGAGGGGCCTTCCTTTGAGAGGCCACCCTGCCTTTCCTGAGTATTGTGAGCAATAACTCAGCCTTTAAGGACAGGTGTGGCTTGGAATCAAGTCTGATTTCACTCTGCATTCTCAGTTAACTAAAGGGATACTTCTGAAATATTGGACGTTACTAAAATGACTGGATTTTAATAAGAAAGCTGGCTTCGGCTAAGGTAAATGTGCCGCCTCTGCACCGAAGCTCTTGAGGCTCCCTTATTCAGTGTTCCCCATCCGAGGCGATGAGACCCGTGTTCATACTGTTCTTTCCCAGCCGTAACTCTTTGAGGCAGGAGTTTCTTGTCATGCACAAACGCTTCCCATCTGATCAAAAGCCCGCTGGGGCTATTTCGGGCTTTGGGCTTTGGAGAGAATTGTTCCAGATGAGCCCAGGGAGTAATTAGCTCATGCCTGGAAGGTGACACGAGCCTGTCTGAACGTGCCAAGTTGGAAAGCTGAGGCCCAGAGCCCTGCTTTGGAACTGACCCACCTCCCCTCCCTTATTTTTAGCTCTCGGTGTGTAACTCAAATGCTGATGTGACCACCTTTTAGAAAATAGACAAGAGAGAGAAGTTGGCGGGGACAGATATGGCTGATAACGAGCAGTCTCCTCTTCATCCCCGTCCAGGATTTGAACAAAGACATGAATTCCCAACCTTTTGATTCCATTCCTTCTGTTCCAGCGAGTCCCACCACTGTCACCCAGATGAGCTTGTCCAACCCGACCATGCTGAGGACACACAGCCTCTCCAATGCCGATGGGCAGTATGACCCGTACACCGACAGCCGCTTCCGGAACAGCTCCATGTCCCTGGATGAGAAGAGCAGAACCATGAGCCGCTCGGGCTCCTTCCGGGATGGGTTTGAAGAAGGTAAGCAAGGAGACTGGCCATCCGTCTCCCAGGTTAGGGAGTGTATAGTTAATTCTCCTCTATGTCAAGTTCATTTCATTGGCCTGAGAGTCCACCTGTGAGTGCTTCCAATTCCCCCACTTACTGGGGGAGGTCGGGCTGGAGAACTGAATAGTGGGGTCTGACTCTTAATTGAACTCTCAGGACTCGAGGGAAGATGCTACTAAAAAAATCACTGTGAACCTTAGAGCTGACTGAGTTTTGCTCTAGGTTTCTCGTTCTTGGACATGGGCCATAGCTTCTTGGCATGCACCCTCATCTTGAGGTTCAGCCACTGGCTCCCCATCTTGGAGGAGCACATTCCTGGACAGTTTGTTTCCCAGTGCTGATGGCCCCTTACGACAGTGGTTCTCAACCTGTGGGTCACAACCCCTTTGGCGGTCGAATGACCCTTATGACTTTGGCGGGCTCTGGGCAGCCATGCCTCTCTGCTGCTCTCAAGAATTCTCTGCTTTGTTATTCAGGCATCAGTGGTTCAAGTTTATTACATTCAGTGATGCCTTTTTCGTTCTTTGCTTGCTAAGTGGGAATATTTTGGATTAGATTTTTATCTTAAAATCATTTAAATCAGAATTTTAAGATTAAAATACTGTGGGCAACTTTGCCAGCGATTCCTATTTCTTTCCCTTTGTTCCTTCACTCAAGGTGTGAGTTGGGGAAACAGCTATTAAAATGCTTTGCGGGGGGACATCACCCACTCCCCCCAATGCTTCCCCAGGGTGAACTGGTCAGACACTAGAGGCAGGACTCACTGACTAATGAATGGTTAAGAGTGTGTAGTAAGACTACCAGGGTTTGAATTCCAGTTTCACTATTTATTAGGTGTATGATCTTGGGCAATTACTTCACCTGTTTTTTCACTGATAACATGGGAGTACTAATAGTACTCAGCCCACAGAATTATGAGATTAATGAGATGATATACACAAATGTTAACCCAATGATGTTATTGCACGTCACAGCCTGTAGACTCGGCTTCCACACCAGTGTCCTGGCAGCTGGCAGTCCAGCCCCAGCTGAGGGCTCTGTCTCTGGTTGTGCCCTTTTTTGTCTTGTCAGTGACAGAACAGAATGTGGGAGGAGAGCCATAGGCGCTTCCCTCTGCTCCCAGTTCCATGAGAGTGGGGATATGTGCCCAGCATCCTCTTGGTAGGAAAGCTCAAACAAACCTGTGATTGTTTCAGAAATCCCTAAACAGGTCAAGAGGGAAATGCAAGATGTTGGCTTCTGCTTTGCCTATTAATCCCTTTAGCAACTTAATTCTCTCCCCCCTCATTTATGTATCCACCCTCATTTATGTATCGGTTGCATCCAGGGACATTCATTAAGCAGGTGCAAGTCTGTAAATCATACATGGGAACCTACTGGAACAGAGGATGGGGGGCTGAGGGAGTTTCGCTGGATTTAAGAGCTAGAAATGAGTGCTGTAACCACTCAGAGCAGCAAGACTGGAGGATATGTTGACTGTAAGGTGTAGAGTAGGCAGTTTGTCTTGAACTCCTGTTATAGTGGGTATGCTGGCCACACATGGCCACGGAGCATCCCCAGCCCTCCTGATGACGACTTGCAGGTGGAGTGTGTCCTGTGCTGTGTTCATCTTCTCTGCCGTGTGTGTACCTGAGTGAATGCGTGTGCAGCACCGAAACTTGTCCAAACAAGCACATTTCGCCTCATAAAGGTCCAGGACCATTGCGGCATCCTCATCAGATTGCTTTCATTTATTCCATCTGGAGTCAGACAGCACAACTGTGGAACATCTGCATGGCAAAGTGGCATTGACAGCGGGTGCTTGGCCACGAGCAGTGTCTAGACTTTTGTAAATCCCATGATTCATGGTGACGTGGAACTGAATGCAGAGGGAAAAGTCAAAGTCGTGAGGAAGAGGAAGAAACTGCTGTTGATGTGCTTTAAACACATAGCACTTCCGTCTTTGGGGAAATTTGGCATCAGATTGATTTTATCTCTTCCACAGTTGTTAAAAAAACATCAACAAAATAAGACTTGTACAAGTAGATGGTGTTTTTTTCTTTATATCTCTTTTTTAGAATTTATTTTTAATTTGTTGGCATTTAATATTAGTTTCAGGTGTACCGCATAGTGGTTAGACATTAATATAACTTACAAAGTGTCCCCCCCCATTACAATATTATTGACTATATTCCCCATGTTGTAGGTCACATTCCGTTGCCAATTTGTATTAGTACATCTTAACCTCTTAGCTCCCCAACCTCCCTTTCCCCTGGCAACCATCAGTTTGTTTTCTATATCTATGTTTTTTCTTTTGTTTATTCATTTATTTTTATTTTTAGATTCCACCTGAGTGCAATTACGTTTTTAATTTCACTGGGGAGAGACTTTTTTCCTCTCTTTTGAGTTTTTAACAGTGTTGCAGAAGCAGTTGGAAAAAAATTCACATTTCACTTTAGAACCTCATTATAAGAGTGTCAGTAGGTATATCACATGCCAGAAAAGCAGGAAAGAAATTTAGGAAGAATTAGCACAAGTACTTGTGCAATGATTTTGTGGGATTTACCAATCATCATTCATTTGGAAGGAAGTGGGTATGATAACCCTGTGGATTAAATATAGGGATGGCCCACATACAGTCTTTCAAAGTTATTTCAGATAAATTCATTTCCATCAGACGCATTGTGCACATATAAAGTCAACTTTAATAGCATACATTTAGGGAGAAGCAAGAGGCATTTTGAAAATGCGTGTCTTTGGAGTGGAAAAAAACAACAGGTCGCTTAAGGGCAATGCAAGCAGATCCTGTCCCTGGATGCTGTGTGACCTTGAGCAGTTGACAGTCTCTCTCAGTTTCAGATTGCACAATGGCAGAGATGACCTGAGATTCCTTGTAGCTTTAAAATGTTGGCGGTACAAGTTGAGAGAGGAAATGCACGGCCTGCTTTTGCCGTTTCGGCTTTGTGACTTTCACAAGCCTTTTGTCCCAGAGTATCCAGGCCGCACAATGTGGGCTCCGACTTGTGGGCTCAGTTCACTTAGAGGAGGGCCGGCTGCAGTGGTCCAGGGCAGCCACGTTCAGTTTGTGGTTGACTCTGGAAGGCAAAAGTCTTTCTCTCGACCACAGCTTTGCTGTTGCTTCTGACCAAGTGAGAGGGGTTAATTACAGAGGAAAGTAAGTACCTCCGCCCGAACCCTGCCAGATGCGCTCTTCTCGGCCTGTAACCCCAGCTGCCATGGAGATTTGGCTGCAGGCTGTCAGTGGGTCCATGAGGTGGAGGAATATAAGAGGAAAACTTCCATTTTCCAGCAGCCAGAGGCCATTCAGCAGCCCTGTGTAGGCTTCTGGAGCAGGTGTCTGGTGGGGCAGTGTGACTGAAAGGTGTTATTAAGGGGTTATGTTACTTACATCTCTGCCCCCAGCGTGGCCTCCAGTATAATCTCCCGCTGCTGCTGCTGCTGCTTGTGTCGTGGGGCTGAAGTAGACTGCTGCTGCTGCTGCTGCTACTGCTGCTGCTTGTGTCATGGGGCTGAAGTAGGTTACCCTCTGGAACAATTAGGTGCCTAGGTTAGGACATGAGAAATTTCTGTTAATGTGTGGACGTATTAACACTGAAAGCCATTATTGGCTGTTAACACCTTAACTGATTTTTTTATGGGGTAGGTATGAGTCAGATGAGTCCTGGATGGAGGGAGAACGGAGGCGAAGATCTAGAACTCTAAGGAAGGCGGCTATGAGTGGTGGTACAGGGGCAACCTCAGTGTGAAGGCACCTGCTAAGAGAGAAGGGGGCAGGTAGGGCAAGCCCAGAGCATTGTGGGTTCAGAAGGAGAGGGCCCATCCAGGTGGCAGTCAGGGCAATAAGGAAAGTCTTCATGGAGAAGGGTTTTGCGCTGATCGTGAAGGTTTGGACAGACAGAAATGAGGTACACCCTGAACAAAGGGAAGGTGTGGGCAGAGCCTCTGAGGAGGCCAAGCACTCTCCCGGGCATGCTGAGAGCCACGTGCAGGACTCAGAGTGTCCGAACCACTTGGAGGAGGCACCTGAGTGCACACTGAGCTGTTCCTCAGGTAACTTGTGGGCAGGTGGCTTCCGCACCTGCTGATTCAAGTTGAGTTCAATCCTGGTACGTGAAAGCCGCTGAGCACCCATGGAACGTTACTCCCGAGCCTCCCACTCTCAGACCGAAGGCGATGGCACTTGTGGCAGAGGCATTCCACCGTGGCCAGGAAAGCTTCGCCCAATGAAAAGGTCCGAGATGTTGCCACATACCTAGTTCTCTCTTTCAAACAAGTTGTGGAGAGAGAACCAAGAAAATGTCATTAAAGACTGGTTTCCCACCAGAGAAGTCAGCCAGAATGCCTTGTCCTAGAAAAGACCAGGCTTTAAAATGTCATGAAAGCGGCTATTAGGATGTCTCCCCTTGGCCGAGGGCAGGCAGGGTGCTAAGGGGGTATGAGGATGGTCCTATGTCAAAAAGTGTCAGTCAGAAACGAAAAAGACGACCCCACTTGCTTGTCCCTGGGTGGACCTGATAGAAATCGAACACAGAATCTATATTTCGCTGGATTGTGTTTTCTAAACATATGTCTGTTCCTCAGGTAACTTGTGGGCAGGTGGCTTCCGCACCTGCTGATTCAAGTTGAGTTCAATCCTGGTACGTGAAAGCCGCTGAGCACCCATGGAACGTTACTCCCGAGCCTCCCACTCTCAGACCGAAGGCGATGGCACTTGTGGCAGAGGCATTCCACCGTGGCCAGGAAAGCTTCGCCCAATGAAAAGGTCCGAGATGTTGCCACATACCTAGTTCTCTCTTTCAAACAAGTTGTGGAGAGAGAACCAAGAAAATGTCATTAAAGACTGGTTGTTGCCCCTGGCTAATAGAATTATGAACCATGCTGGTTACCCTAGTGGATTTGTTTTTTAGCACTTCTCTGTCCTTGAAAATTTTCATGAAGTAATCATGTATTATTTTGATAGTCAGGGGGCAAAAGTATCTAGAAGGTTGTAGAAAAAATGTGGTAATAGAAAATTGACTGAATCTCCTAACAAACTATTCCTTATTTGATGCTGACCTAAAGCCAAACCAGGGAAGGTCGGGTCAAGGTGAGGTCAAGTTGCTCTGAGCCTGGTAGTGCCCTATGATGCTCAGTTTCTCCTTCCCTCCCCCCATTTTTGGTTTCATAGCAGCCAGCTATGTAATTCATCTTTTCTTTCTAACTTGTGGGCAGGTGGCTTCCGCACCTGCTGATTCAAGTTGAGTTCAATCCTGGTACGTGAAAGCCGCTGAGCACCCATGGAACGTTACTCCCGAGCCTCCCACTCTCAGACCGAAGGCGATGGCACTTGTGGCAGAGGCATTCCACCGTGGCCAGGAAAGCTTCGCCCAATGAAAAGGTCCGAGATGTTGCCACATACCTAGTTCTCTCTTTCAAACAAGTTGTGGAGAGAGAACCAAGAAAATGTCATTAAAGACTGGTTTCCCACCAGAGAAGTCAGCCAGAATGCCTTGTCCTAGAAAAGACCAGGCTTTAAAATGTCATGAAATCGGCTACTAGGATGTCTCCCTTTGGCTGAGTGCAGGCAGGGTGCTAAGAGGATATGAGGATGGTCCTAACTCAAAAAGTGTCAGTCAGAAACGGAAAAGACGACACCACTTGCTTGTCCCTTGGTGTACATGATAGAAATCTAACACAGAATCTATATTTCACTGGATTGTGTTTTCTAGACATATGCTTGTAAGCAAGTATTCTTCTAGAATGGTTTCGCTATGGCCATAATCAGCTCCTCTTCTGCAAATATAAGTGGCAGGTGCTAGCAGGGTAAACTACAC